TGTGGCACAGAGGGACCCGGTGGCACAGGGCTCTGCTGGGGACCCGGTGGCACAGAGGGACCCGGTGGCACAGAGCTCTGCTGGGGATCCTGTGGCACAGGTGGGTGCTGCCAGCCCTGGGGAGGGGACATGCTTAGAGTCAGCTCCTCTGTACACCTGAGGGAAGCAGGATGTTCACTCCTCTTAACGTTCCTGGTCTCCAAGAGCAACGAGGATGAATAGATCCATCTCTCGCTACCCTCCCCCCACAGGTTTCAATCACCCCCTGTGAAAAATGCGCATCTTATTGTATTTGTCAATGTCTTGACAACGTCTTGGTTTCTGGTACTTCCTTCTTGTTCTGCCTTTTTTCTGCTGGCTTAAAGGGATTTTCCATTCTCTGTGTTTTCTTTCCGTGAAGGAATTCCCGCACCGCGATGAGCGGCTGTCGGCTGTGCTCGGATCGGAGCAGATGGAGCCCTTCTGCTCCCTCCCCACGGGGCGCTGCCTCCCGCTGCCCCAGCGCTCCATCCCTGCCCTGCGCGCAGCCTCGGGCAGGAGCTGCCTCTCCTCCCGCTCTGCATCTCGGAGCCAAATCCGAGCGAGCTTCCCCCGCTCCTGGCTCTGGCCGATGTGAGCCCCCTGGGCCCGGGGCTGCAGCCCCCGGTTCCCGGGCCGAGCTCCACTCCAGCCCTCAGCACTTCTGCCTCCATCCCAGCGCTGCTGCTCAGAGCCCTGAGCTCAGGCCCCGGGGAAAGGCTTTTCAGCTTGCCCCAAAAGGCCTGGCAGGAGAATTTCTCTTTCCGACATCTCCAAGTATTTCTCAGGCTGATGCTGTCCGAAGGGTGAGTGAGAGGCTTCAGAGAACACACTCAGCAGCAACAGCTCAGGGTGGAGTCGCAGAGGTTAAAGAGGAATTTCAGAAATTCCAGCAGGCACACACTCCAGAGAGTCCCAAGCCCCCTCCCCAGCCACTGTTTTCACATTTATTTCATGGTCAGAAGGAATTTTTCAAGTGAGGGAAGAGGAAAAAAAACCCAGGTATGAAACACTGCAGGAGAAAAAGAAAATAAAAATGTGAACAACTTCTTTCAAAATCTTTGTGCTTTTGGGGTCTCCCTTTGTGCTCTCCCTGGCACTGTTGCTAGAGAGGAGCTGGGGACATAGAGGTGGTGGTGGGGAGGGGGATCCATTGCCCCCCTCCAACAGCCTTCTCTGCTGGCCTTGTGCCCCCTTGCCCTCAGGCCATGGCCCCCCTGCCAAGGACAGATCTGCCACCATACCCACCACCCCTGAGTGCTGTTGGGGCTGCCAAAAATTCCCAGATGGAATCTGAAAAATGAAAATTCTCCTTTTCAGCTTGTATTGCTGGTTTTGGCATCCCAGGAGGGAGCAAGCTGGCAGGAGTGATGCCTGGGGTTGGAGCACTTGGCACCCCAAGAGCCCTCTGGACTGGAAAACACCAACCCTTGAGTCACTGGGACAAACAGGGAAGCACAGTTTCATGTGTTGGCTGTTGCTGTGGGTTAAGACGTCAGGCAGAATGAATCCTGTGTGAGCTCTGCTCCCTCCCACCATTACCCAACGCTGCAGCTTGTCCTGGGAAACCACGGGGTTACTCCGAGTGCTGCAGCAGACATGTTTCCACTGGTTCTTTTCTGCAGTGGCAGCAGAGAGGGAACGTGAGAAGCCAAGGCCTGTTGAGAAGCCACATGATTTATGTGTTTTCCTTTGGCTTTGTTTTCCTATTGCAACTTCTCAAATTTGCCCTGAGAAATACACATTTTTAAGGTACACAGTGCAAAGCCCCCAGAGGCCATGAGCTGCCTCAGGCTAGGAATGACCACAGAGCTGATGGGAAGGTGCTCTCCACAGAGCCAGGTGGTCTCGAGTTTAAATGGAGCTTACAAGGGCCTGGCCAGCAGAGTGTGAGCTCCTGGGGCATTTATCTATGCCCTGCTCTGTCCTCTGTGGGAAAGAGCTGTGGTCAAAATCTCTGCAGGATCCCAGCTGCCCAGCTTGGCTTGGGGCCAGGGAAGGATTGAGGTTTGGTCCCAGGGGATGAAGGACTCTGTCCCCTGTGCAGGTCCTCAGGAGGGACCCCAAGAGGACACTGCCCCAGCCCAGGGCCTTGGGACCCAGAGCAGCACAGGGACCAGCAGGGCACAGCAATGGCTCTCAGGGCTCCCTGTGGGTGTCTGGGGTCAGCCCTTGGGCAGGGAACAGCAGACTCCAGAGGAGGTTGTTTTCTGTGGAGATTCTCTCAGGAACCAAGGGATGCTCCCAACCCCATCCTCCAATCCCTATCCTTATTCCTATCACTATATCCATCCCTAGCCCTTCTTCCATGCAGTCCCACCAGCTCAGACAGCCAGGAAAGGCAGCATCACCAGCACACTTCACAGCAGCTCCTTCAAACAGCCCCCACATACGTGGTGAACCCCCCATCCTGTGCCTGTCAGGCTGGGAGCCCTGGGCTGTGGGCAGTGTCTTTGTTCCCTGCCTTTCCCCACCCCGCTCCTTCCCAGGCTGACCTGGCAGGTCACTGTGTGAAAGTTCAGCCTGGTCTGAGCTCACACAAATTCCTGCAGCTGCTCAGCCCCAAATCTCATCACCAGGAGGGAGGGCTGGATGATTTACAGGAAGGTTGCTCACAGCGCTGCTTTGTTGTTGGAAATTGCAGACGTAAGGGAGACTCCAGAGAGAGGGAGTAGGATGTGTGAAATACATCATCACAGCTTCAAGGATAAATTTAGGCTTTCCAGAGGAACCTAATTCTGATTCAGCAGAGGCCGGGAAAAATCCAGCACGGATTTCCCAGTGCCTCCCCCCTGGGCACAGCAGCACGTCCCACCCAGACAGGCACTGGCAGGACTCCAGGGCACAGGGGTTACCCCATCTCCCTCAGTCTCTGCTCACACCTGGTCCTGCCAGGGTTCATCCATTGCCACCCTGGTCTGGCCCAGCTTGCTGAATCCCCACCCTGGAGCTTTGTCACTCCCCACTGTGGAGAAGGGCCAGGTGGCTCCTGCCACCTGCCCAGGCTGGTTGTACCCCAACCCTCACTGCCCCAGGGGACAGCAGGGTGGCACAGCCTGCCAGAGCACAGCCTCATCCTTTCCCAGGCTGGGAGCAGCCCCTCACCCTGTCAGAGGACACCCAAAACTTCTGCTCTTGGCTGCTTCTTGAGCAGAGGTGAATTTCCAAGCAGGGTCAGTCAGAAAGAGGGAAAATTGGCCACAGCCATCCACTCCAGTAAGAAGCATCTCCATGGGAGCTCAGCCATGCCCTGGGCTCCAGCCCTACCCTGCCTCCCCTGGCTTTCCCTGCCAGAACAGCGCAGCCCTGGGTAAGCCCTGGCAGCCCAAGGGAGGCAAGATGTTGTTACCCAGGTTGCTATATCTTCAGAGGTTACAGAGGATGGGTGAGGGCTGCAGCCACAATGGGGCTCCTCTCACCTGGGGAAGGTCCTGGGGCCTGTTAGCCCAGAGCAGGGAGACCCATTTTCATGTTTGAAAAGCTGACATGAAAGGCCGGCAGTGCTCTCATTCCAAGCAGTCTCCTTATTTTCCTGGCGAGCCTGGATGAATGTTATGCAAAGCTTCACTCCCCTTTATTC